TTTATAGACTGTCAGTGATATACGAGAACTGGTTATGTAGCATGTAAGAGGAGATTTGACTAAGAGGGAGATGGACAGTGCTGAGTGCACAGTCTTGCAGTATGAGCACCCGTCAGTAGCTCTAACCATTACATACTGCAAATCAATATAAAAAATGGACAAAACAGGAAAAAAAAAAGAAGAACAGCAGAATAACATTCTTCCACTGTGTTAGTGTGCACAACTTCAAGGTAATATGTAGAACAAAACAGCTTTTTGAAAAGAAGGTAGATTGTGCAGCAAAGCAAATTAAATCCCTGTAGCCAATGGAAGATACCTGAGGAAGCACACAATAAGAAAGATTCAAGAAAATGGGAAAAAGTTAACAAGGAAGGTTAAACATGTTGGTGAGAAAAATCATTGGAGGCAACAAGGCAGCCATTAAAAGTTGAATTATAGTCAGATGTAGGAAACAGAATCATAAAATCTGGCATATTAAGTATGCAGTAAAGCAATAAAAAACCCAGTATGTGGAACAGCTAGCAAAAGAAGGAAGCTGTTGAGGAACCTTTCCGCAGATGACATTGGTGTGAAAATGTTGGGGAGGTTGTAATGCCAGCTTGTACAGATGTGAAATTAGTTTTTTGCAAATCTATTCACTGTATAAGGCTCCCAGTCCAGAACCTTCCATCATAGAGAGCTCACCAGAGCTTGTGTTTGCAATTGGAATGCTTACAGAGAAAGTGTGGAGCATATGCACATACCTTCATGTTTGCAGTGAAGTGATCGTGAGCAAGTTGCTGGACTGTCTGGCATTCAGTGCAGAGTTCTTCAAGGAACTCCAGCATAAAATACCTGAATTACCAGTGGGCATATATAACCTCTTCCTCGGCTGCCTTATCCACTGAGGACTGCAGGGTGAAAAATGGTATTTTGATTGTTTATTTTTGTTGGTTTAAATATTTCTGTCCATTATCCAGGGAATTATGGGACAGTAAGCCATGCAAATGTGCTGGGTCAAAGTAGCTGAAACAATAACAGAAAAAATGGAATTTGTGGACACTTAAGTAAGATCCATTTGGGAGGAGTGTTTAAAAAGAGAATTATATTGAAAGGATAAAAAAATCATAGAAAAAATGTTTTGACTGATATAATCCATTTGGATTTCCAAAAGAGGTTTTTTTTTATAGTCACGCATTGGAAACTTATCAGGAGACTAAGCACATTAGTAGGATACGATGAAATATCTTTGAATGACTAAAGAACATTTTAAAACGTAGGAAACAAGGGTAGGGGCAGTGAGTCATCAGTTAAGTTTAAAAAGTGAAATAACACAAGTTGTTGAGCTTAATATAACTTTGAAAATGTTGTTATATTAAGCAATAATTAATTCATATTTTTCGCAATCATCCATGCTAAGTGGGTTAGAAGCCTTAATAGTTGGAATTTATTTTATTAAAGTGACCAGAAAATGATCTGTTCTGTACACATTTAAATTTCTTGATTCATTGTCATGTTTATCTAGAGGAATAGCACTGCATTACTGTTGTGTAAACAAGCAAGTAACTTTTGTGCCTTTGTTTTATAATGTTGATAATAGCTAATTATGTGTGGAAGAATAATTTTGTCATTAGTGAAACTGCTCTTTAATATACTGTTTTATATTTAAGGTTAGCTTTATTAAATGTTTTTTTTTTTATGCTTATTACCTTTGCGGAGATCGTGTTAAGGGAGATAAATAGATTTTATCCAATTTTATTTTATTTTAGTCAGTAACATTACTTAGCATATTCTTATATACTTGTTGCATAATGAATGTTTAAACAGGGGCATTACTTAGAACTTCTGACTAAAAAATATTTAAAATATTTCTTAAAGTCTTAATAACTTTACCTTGTGTGTCAGATTTTTAACCTTGATTTTTCCTGTGTCTCTTGCATTTTACCTTTGTATTTTAAAGAAAATGTAGCAAAGTAGACAGATTTCATTTAAGTTATAACAAAGAGTTGAATAGTACATTATTATGAAATAGTTAAGAAGGTAGGTATTTTGTTTGCCCACATATATGCTGACATTGAATATACACTGAAATTGAAGGGCAGTTGAGGTTGTGTGTTTTTTTAGTTGGTTAATAAGCTTCTTGCATTGTTAGTATCTTTATTAATAACCTTAATACATTTTTAGTATAGGAAAATAGTTGACAACTGTGCAGCATCAGCTAATCAGGCACTTTCTTATGAGGAGATCATAGAATCATAGAATTACATGCTGTTTTAGTTTGGAAAGGACCTTAAATCTCATCCAGTTCCAACCCTGACATTGCCTGATATTGGCAGGGGCATCTTCCAGTAAAGCAGGTTGCTCCAAGCCCTGTCCAACTTGGCCTTGAGCACTGGCAGGGATGGGGCAGCCACAGCTTCTCTGGGCAACCTGTGCCAGTGTCTCACCACCCACATCATAAACAAATGTCTTCTTAGACTAAATCTACCCTCTGTTAGTTTAAAACCGTTACCCCTTGTCCTGTCAGAACAGGCCCTGATAAACTCCATCCCCATATTTTTTACGTGTGAGAAGTTTGTGTTTGAAATATGAATAGGCACAAAAGTTAGTACAAAACATTAATACATGTTGTGGGTACAAAACATTTTGTTTCCCAGATACAATTTAGCAATTAAGAAGAGGCTCTAGAGTTAAACGCACCTAATTCACAAGCGTAAGAAATGGTGCGCTTTCCCCCCACCCCCTCCAAGCAAAGGCTCAGATGTTATTTCTAGTTCTCACTTTTGGTTGATGATGAGGGGAAAGTAGTTCAGTCCTTCCCTGAGGCTATATCATGTCTTTTGCTGTAAGTTTTGCAAGTTAGAAGAGAGGTCTGTGTTCTTCCACTTTATATATGCAGCAGTGAAAGGAGATTTGATTGATTTGTTTACAACAGTATGTCTTTCTCAACTGGAAGATTTCTCGTGTTTTTGTCAAAGGCATCTATTTGGGTATCCATTCAAATCTAATTAGAAGAGGAGAATAGTGATTTTTCTTTAAGTCCCTTCAAAATTATCACTGATGTTGATAAATTCCAGTAATCAGAAAATTATTGTCAGTTTTCTGAATGATCTGGTTACAGTTTCAGCAGGCACAGCACAATATGGTCTTACTTAGATGCTGTCAGTGCAGTACTAATTCTTTAACTGTTTGTGCCTTTGAGCTCCGAATTTTCTGCAAGCACTTCAGGAATGTAAACGTAGAAGGTATGACTTGACTTGGTACAAAGCAACACAGCTAGAACAAGATGCGCAAAAGATAAGTGACTTCCATCTTTGAAAATGTTAAGCAAACCAGCAATGATGTGTTTTTAATAAATGTATTTTCCCTCCATTATTTTTACATAACCAAGTTAGAGACAGAGACATACTGCATGCTGACCTGTCTGAAAGTGTATTTTTTGGCAAATGTGTATACGTATGATGTATTTTATAATATAGAGTATATATTCTATTTTTATAGGTCACGATGTTGTTATGTGCTAGCACAGATGTGTTTCTTAGGCTGAAGTTTTGTATATAGTTTTATACATAGCTTTGCAATGCTTTACATAGCTTTGTTTACTCAGGTATTCAGAACCGCTAAATGTGGAAAGGCTTTACTAAAAAGTAAGTGAAAAACTATTACCATCTTAAAAGACCATGTGCATTTAGTACTGTTATATTCATAGTTTTGCTTGTAACTCCACTTTTTTCCTCTGTAGTGTAGCTTCTGAAGAGTCTGCTTTAACATTTAGGAAAGGTGTAATTGATGTACATGAAATTATAGTTCATAGTTGAAACATAACAAGGGAAAGTTTAGAGTCCTGCATCTGGGCAGGAACAACCCCAAGTTCCAGTATAGGTTGGGGAACGACCTGTTAGAGAGCAGTGTAGGGGAGAGGGACCTGGGGGTCCTAGTGGACGACAGGATGACCATGAGCTGACACTGTGCCCTTGTGGCCAAGAAGGCCAGTGGCATCCTGGGGTATATTAGAAGGGGGGTGGTTAGTAGGTCGAGAGAGGTCCTCCTTCCCCTCTACTCTGCCCTGGTGAGACCTCATCTGGAATATTGTGTCCAGTTCTGGGCCCCTCAGTTTAAGAAGGACAGGGACCTGCTGGAGAGAGTCCAGCGCAGGGCAGCTAAGATGATTAAGGGAGTGGAGCATCTCCCTTATGAGGAAAGACTGAGGGAGCTGGGTCTCTATGGTTTGGAGAAGAGGAGATTGAGGGGTGACCTTATTAGTGTATATAAATATATAAAGGGGGAGTGTCACGAGGATGGAGCCAGGCTCTTCTCAGTGGCAAACAATGATAGGACAAGGGGCAGTGGGTGCAAACTGGAACACAAGAGGTTCCACTTAAACTTGAGAAGAAACTTGTTCTCAGCGAGGGTGACAGAACACTGGAACAGGCTGCCCAGGGAGGTTGTGGAGTCTCCTTCTCTGGAGACATTCAAAACCTGCCTGGACACGTTCCTGTGTAACCTTATCTAGGTGTTCCTGCTCTGGCAGGGGGATTGGACTAGATGATCTTTTGAGGTCCCTTCCAATCTCTAATATACTGTGCTACTGTGATATTATGAATACGTTGCTGTGATTTCAACTGAGAAGTCTTTAAAGCTAAAGCAGTGCTTCAGTGGTAAAGGCAGAATAGTGGGATTGAATTGATTAGCAGCCTTTCATGACGTTGCTTCAGGTCACTTCTGTCATCAAAACCTGAAGCAGTTGAATCTGCATCTGTGTAATGGACTAATGTAGCACTTCTAGTAAAAACTGTGGAGACTGGCTAATGAAAACAGAGCTAGGTAATACGTTTTAAGTGGTGTTAGCCAACATATATAACTTTGCTATAAAACGTTTTTGTATATGTCAGGTCGTGGGTTTGAACCTCAGCTTCCTGGAATCCAAGGTGTTCTTATTGCCTTGGTCACTGTTGAGAAATCTAAATCTAGTTGCCTGCTACCTTCAGATGCCTTATAGAGTATGTTTATCTTGCTCTTACCTAGTCAAGTCCCAAGGAGTTTACTGGATTCTTTTCTGGTTTTGGTTGTTTGGGGATTTTTTTGTTCATTTGTGAGTGGTGGTGTGTGTATGGTGAGGTGATGGCAATGGTGAGGCTGTAGGGTGGCCATTGTGAGGAGCAGCTGAGGCTGCCTGTGCTAGACACAGCCAATTCCAGCCAGCTCCAGCAGACCCAGTGCAGGGCACAGCTGATCCCCTCAGCCAGGACAGTGCTGCCTCTTGGAAGTGGGTTTAAGAAAGGTGTAAAAATGCTGCACAGCAGACTGCGAGAAGGGAGTAAGGAAGAATGTGAGAAACAGCCCTGCAGGCACCAAGGCCAGTGAAGAAGGTGGGAAGGGGGTACGGTACTCCAGACACCAGAGCAGAGATTTGCTGTGCAGCCCCTGGAGAAGACCGTGGTGGAGTGTGTTTCCACACTGTAGCCCATGGAGATGCCTTGAGGGATGCTGCAGCCATGGAGAGAGAGCAGGTACCAAAACAGCCTCCTGGAGCTGTGGCCTGTGGAGGGAAGCCCACACAGGAGCAGGAACAGCCCATGTGTGACCTGCCTGGAGCAGTCTGTTCTTGAAGGTCTGCATCTGCTGTAATGGATCCATGTTGGAGAAGTTCATCAAAGACTGTATCCTATAGGAGGAACCCCTCACTAAAGCAGTAAATGAGCGTGAGGAGGAAAAGGTAGCAGACAGGTGCTGTTATGGAGTGGCTTCGACTCCCATTCCTCGTCTGCCTGCACTCTCTGGGAGGGGAGGAAGGTGGAGGAGTTGAGTCTGGCCATACTGTGACAGTATCAGTGAGTGACCTCTTTAACTTGATCCATGAGCTTTTATATCTTATTATCTCCCCTGTCTTCTTGAGGAGAAGGTGCAAGACAGTGGCTGGATGGGTGTCTGTCAGCCCACCACAGGGTGTTGTGCTTGTAGCAGTTTGGTGTGCCATCTTTGGCAGTGTCTGTAAGTGGTACAGATCAGTAATTCTCCCTTGGTGCCTGAACCTGTCCAAATGAATTTCTTGCTGAAGGCTGCCTTATTTTTGTTTCAAGTTTTAGCAGAGTTCATCTGCAGAGAGATTTCTTCTTTCCTGGCAATTATCTCAGTTTTGTGTATGAATTATTGAGGAGACATCCTTTTAGAGCATTTGGGTCTGTGACGTTTGTGAACCTGGCTGTGAATGAGAAAAGCTTCCTGATCTTACGCAGAAGATGTACTATTCTTTGTACAGAGATACAGTTGCTTCTGAAGTACCCTATCCTGAAGTACATTGTCAGCACGACTTAATTAACTGGATTCCTGTATGAATTAAGATGTGCTGTTTTCAGAGACTGAAAGCAATACAGACATTTTAATCATGCCTGGAGCCCGGATAGGTAAATGCTCTCAACCTTCTCTGGCTCCTTTCAAAGCCCTTCTGGTTAAAATAGCATCCTGCAATTCACCTGAACAAAATGTCAGGGAAAAGCAGGTCAGGCACACTTGAGTAATTCAGCATGACAGACTGTGACCAGGTAAGTCTTGAATATATGTGTTGCTTGTGATTTCTTTGTTAATCTTTTAGCTTTCTTTTTTTGTCCATTGGGACAGTGATGAATCATCAGTAATGGATATTATTCAGAATCTGTAGAATTCTCCAGCTCTTCATGGTGCTGGTTAAGTGCAGACTAGGTTTGGATATTGTTTTCCTGTTACATAGGAATTATGCTCCCTGCTAATGCTCTGTCACAGCACCTCATAAGCTGAAAGGTTTAAAATTTTTGCACGTTATTGATCCATAAACACTTTCAGTCTATTGTGAGATTGCTGTTGAAAGACTTAGGAAAAAATTAAGGAACTGCACTTACAAAAGTCATCATTATAATGACAGGAAATTTAGTTTGAGGTAACTGGAGCAGTGAAGAATGCAATCAATCATATCAGCAAGTATCTTTACAAATTTTATTAGTCTCTGACAAATGTTACACAGATCATCAAGGTCATTTCATAGTGAAGCTGGGATATTGTTTTCATACTCTTACAGCAACAAGAGTGCTTTGAATAAACTTCACGTCCAGTTCCCTGGGGTTCTTGCAGTGTGGTGAAGCAGTAAGACAGGAAATAAAAACAGCTGCAAAATAAGGCAGACACTTTGTCCTCGTTGTGGGACCGGTTTTCAGGCTAACAGTGCTAACTTTGAGGAAAAATGACCATTTTAGTGACAGTCACTGTCAGCTGTTATGTAGTCCTGTCTTTCCAGTCCTTGTTAAATGACTTTACCCCAGTAAGCACTGCGTGCCTTGGCTTAAGAATGTTTGCACAGGGCACTTAACTAGATCTGTTTCTCATGAGAAGATTGCCATTAGATTTGGTAGCAGGTGGGAAAAAATGCGCCTTCCTTATATAAGATCTCTTTCAATTGGAAATGCAAAAGGTTTATTAGCATAGATGCAGTTCTAATGTTTGTAATATAGGGGTTTTGGTATATAGGAAGGATATTATCCTTTTCTTTCAAAAAGCAAAGTCTTTTCTTATTACACTCCCTTGAGTTGCATTTACCCAATCAGCTTTTGTTGTTGTCATGGAAGACACCAAATTTGTTATTCCCCCAACTATACATTTTTATTTTTGAAATAACTGCTTTCTGCTGGCTGCTTGCTAATATATGTATCTATGGTCACTGACTGCAGAATGAGAATCCCAGCCTGGTGAGTGTAGTTGGTTTGGGGTTTGGTGGTTCTCAGTGTTTTTGCTTCTGCCTTAATCTTCAAAAGTGATGTGCTTTCTGAAGGATTTGTCATTGTGAACTGGAGTACTATTTGGCATTTTAAGTAATTGAGAAGAGTGAAAACCACTAAGGAAATATGCTGGCAGGCATGACTACAATTGAGTTACATTTCTACACTCAAACTAGTATATTGCTGTTTCAGCAGGGTGGCTATGAGATTACAACACTGTTCCACAATTTTTGCAGTAATATTCATTGGATTCTGCCAAATAGTACAGACTTTTTGGAATTTGTTGTTAAATATTGAGGTCCCTAAAGCCTGTGGTACTTGCCTGGTTATTTTAACTAGTGTAAGGAATACACGCAAACTTATGAAAGGGAGAGCTTGTTGCATCAGGGATTCCCTTGCTGCCATAGCTGGTCACGTGATTTAGTACTGTTCAGATGTAAAACCATTTTGACCCAAAAAATAGTTGCATTGCTTACAATATTAATACTGGGAAGTTGACATGCTGTAAAATGTGAAAGTTCACTTCAATTCCTAGTCCTTGTTATCAGTAGTGCCACATAAGATCTGTGACTATAATTATCCTTAGCTATGATAATTTTTCCTTAGTTCTCAACTCCTAGTGTGTCTCAGGTGAAAGATCGGACCTTGACTTTGATAAATCCTGTGCTTTTTTGAAGTATCTCATTTGCTTCCGTTCTGTTTAATGATTTTGGTACCTCTTTTCTATACTTTTCTAGTCTGAGTGAATGGGATTGGAAAGAGCTTCTTTCAGATAGTTTCGCTAAATGCATTGCAAGACTGTGTTCCTTCTCCTAGGAAAACCTTACCTCGTAGATGATATGATGGTTTGGTTTTTGTATGGCTGTATCTAATTGGTGCTTGTAGTACTAATCAGTAACCAGGCAGTACACCGGGTTAGGGTTAGGGTGTATGTCTAGCTGGTAAGATCTTGGTGTGTAACAGCTCGTCACATAATGCTGTTCAGTTTCATCCTTTTTGGTTTACTTGAGTCTTCAAACTCGTCCACTTCTTCATGAACAGGCTTGTTCAGTATAATCAACACAGTTATTTTCATCTGTGTTGATTATACTCCCAACTTCACCAATAAAGTTCATCACATTTTGCTTTTTGGAGATGGCATATTCTTCTTATTTCAAGAGTCTGTTTTACATATTTACTCAATTACTCTACTTTCAGTCAAGTTCATGGCTATTTGCATTTTAGCCAGTTTGTATCCTGTCCTTTAATTGTTATATTGATTTCCATTCCTTCATTGAATTAACTTCCTTTGTGTTATCTTGTGAAGGGCATTACTCATATAAATTGTTGTTTCTGTGTTTTATTCATTGAAGAAAACTCTCCCAGGCAGCTGTAAATTGACAGTAGCCTCCTTTCGGTAAATGTGTGGTTTAGATTTTTTCATTTACCTCTGCATGCTTTTTCTTTCTTTAACTTTTTATTGACAACTGAGTAATTTATACTCTGAAGGTCAGAAGAAGAGGAATTGAATTAATGAGTTTGCAGAGAGAGAGAGACTGGAGTTTGCAGAGAGAATCTGCAAGTCTCATTTTGAGGTAATGAGACTAAGACAGGTAAGGGTCCAACTATCCAGAGATAAAGGAACAAGGTAGATGATTTTTATGATTGTGCAGATGGTCATTCTGTTTTTTTTCTGAGAAGGAGGTTGCCAAGGAGAGCCTGAAGAGGCCTGAGCCCTCATTTATATTCTGGTGGTTCTGCAGATGTATGAGGATGAGAGAGGGAGTTGGGAATCCAGAAAGACAAAAATAAACTTATAACAATTTTCCAGATAATACCTTGGGAATAGAAACAGCATAGTTGTTATTCTGTTTATAGTTCTGAGTACAGAGAACTTCATTCTTGACCTCTATCTCTCTAGTCCCCCCCTCCCTATCCCAAAGAAAAAAAAGAAAAAAGAAAAAAAGAAATTGCTGATGCGGTCCAAGTGGAAGTCATTAAGCAGTGTATTTGGGCACTACTGATGATTATTTGAGAGCTGACCTAATTGATTGCTTTGCTAGAAGCTGGAGATTCTAAAGATTCATTGATTATGCAAAGCATTGGATATTGTATAGTTCGCTGTTTTTCAAAATTGCAGCTGATTTGTGAAGGAATTCATCAAAAGATTTAGGAAGCTACCAATAGTTTGTGTATTTTGCAGTAAGGTTATGGCTCATCTTCCCTTATCGATTTGTATAGCTTGTTTTACGCATCTGGCATAAAAAATTACTTTCCTGCTTGTAGTCTTATTTACCAGTAGGGAATGGTGAGATAAAGGTGGGGGATGTTATATTGTCAAGAATTAAAAAGATATGAAAAAAAAAAAGGAGTGTAACTTCTTTCAAAAAATCTTGTTGATTAGCTCAACTAGAAAGTATTCCTGATGTATCTGTTGCTTTATGCGTATATTCAGAATTGGGCTTGTTGGTTTTTGGTTTGGTTTTTCTTTTGCCTTTTTTTGGGGGGGGGTATTATTTTTCTGGTTTTTGGTTTTTTTTTTTTTTTTTTTCTTTGCTGTTGGTTGGAGACTGGCTGAAAATTGGTTCATTGGTCGTGTGCAATTGTTTTGGGTATTTTGCATCATTGTTTTCCTTGGTTAGTTTCCCCACCCCTCTTTATTCTTTTTTTGCCCCTCTGCTCTGCTGCTGTGAGACCTCACTTGCAGTACTGTGTACAGTTCTGGTGTCCTCAACATAAGAAGGAGATGGAGCTGTTGAAGCAAGTCCAGAGGAGGGCCATGGGGATGTCACGAGGCTCACGCACCTCCTGTATGAAGACAGGCTGAGAAAGTTGGGACTGTTCAGCCTGGAGAAGATGTGTGGAGACCTCATAGCAGCCTTCCAGTGTCTGAATGGAACCTGTAAGGGTGCTGGAGAGGGAATCTTCATCAGTGACTGTAGTGAGAGGACAAGGGGTAATGGGTTCAAACTTAAACTGGGGAGGTTTAGATTGGATATAAGGAAGAAGTTCTTTACTGTGAGGCTGGTGAGGCACTGGAAGGGGTTGCCCAAGGAAGTTGTGAATGTGCCATCCCTGGCAGTGTGCAGAGTCAGGTTGAATGGAGTCTTGGGTGACATGGTTTAGTGGGCGGTGTCCCTGCCCATGGCAGGGTGGTTAGAACTAATGATCTTAAGGTCCTTTCCAACCCTAACTATTGATTAAAATGTCTTTACTCAGCTCGCAAGTTTTCTCACTTTCATTGTTATGACTCTTTCTGTCCTTTTTTCCTGCTCGTTTCTTAATTTTGTTTTGTGTTTTTTTTGTTGTTCCTCCCCATCCCCCCCTTTTCTTCTCTGGGATGGCCTAGAGTGCTGTGGTAGTTGTGATCTCTATTTTCTGGATGCACTAAACCCTGGGAAGAGCAAGTAGGTGTTTCTTTTTCTTCTTTTGAAACTGAATTTGTGAACTTCTGCACCCTCTTGTGCTGGTCCTGCCATTATCACACAGCATGCAGGGCTCCACATGAGCCTGTCAGCCTCCAGGTGGCGGATCCATGTTACAACAGGTTCTCCTATTTCAGCCTGTCTGCATGGAAGTCTAGATCTTCATTAAGCTTAATCAGGGCTGTAGTCCGCTTCCAATCATAACTCATATAGCAGTCCCACTTGTATTTCTTGTCAGCAAGATGCTGTTCTTGAATGCATGTATATAGTGATAAATTGAAATAATCTGGGTAGAACTTTCGTATTCTTTAGACAACATGTAAAGGTAAAAATTAAAATCTTAACTCATGTTCACATTCATGTCATATCACCTACTTGGTTCTAGTACCTTTTCTAATGTCTCAGCCATAATTTTGGGACTGTTTCAAGTTCTGCATTGACATGATGACACAGGGAAAAATCCTTAATTTCTAGTTACTTATCTGTGTGCTTTTCTTGGAGCTGTAGATCATTATTTCTTCACTTTCTACTGTGTTAGTACGAGCTCTTGTGAGATTATTTGTGTTCGTATTTTAGTCTTTGGCCTTGGAAATGGAAAAATTCTTTAATCCAGATGGCAAAAAGGCAAGACGATATTTTATTTGTGTTTATTTTTATGCATTTTCTGTTTCTTTTGCCATATGCAACCAGATGACCTCTTCAGACTTAACTCTGATAGGTCAAAATTAGTGATGTAATTTATACCAACCAAATAGACTACTAAACATATGACTGTCTTACCAAACAACACCTATGAGTTTCTTGTTTGCTGAGCTTTCAGGGAGGAAAAATCAAGACTGCTTTACATATTATGGGAACAAATAAAGCAAAAGAAAAAATACCCCAATTTTTGTGTTCTGAAAAACTACTTGGTGCAAAGGTCTCTTAAAAAAAATCCGGAAGGAGCAAGTCTGTTATGAAGAATTTGGGTAAATTGTTACCAGCTATAATCACCTTCCCTTTAATGCATTTTGGAAGCAATTGGTTTTCCTTGTTATTGTGATAAGGACAACGAAAAAAGTTCTGGTGGTTGGTGTTTTTTTTTTTGTTTGTTTGTTTGTTTGTTTGTTTTTGGGGGGGTTTGTTTCTTTTTTTTTTACTTTGCTTTTTTTGTTTGTTTTTTTTAGTGCAAACATTAAAAATAACAGCTCAGTGTCTATTGTGGTATTTTCAATTTTTATTGCACAGTATAGTAGTGTACTACTTGTCTTTGAATAAAGAAGAATATATAAGGAATAAAGCATAGAAAGTGTACTTAAGATTTCTGGACTAGACATGACAGTTTGCTAAAATCTGTAAATCAAATTTCCACTGAAGTGCATGAAAGAATATGTATCTGTATCCTATATGATACCAATTTTTATTTTAACTTTTTTTTTGAACCAAACTGTGTTATT